GGGCCTAATCGGCGAAAATTGGACTTTTGAGGGCGCGACTGGGCCGTATTTTTAGCGTCGGCGATAAGAAGGGCGTTGGGGGCGAGTGAAGATGCTCTTAGCACATGGAGTTAGAGAGACAACACACCAAGTGTTAACAGATGGCCAGTAGCGGCCCGTGCTCCACCGGCAGCAGCAGCGAGCACAAACCTTTCCTCAACAACAGCAGCAATCCGACAACGGCGGCCACAATTGGATAACCGAGGCGGTGTCCCCTATTTACCACGTAGGTGGACAGTTGTCAACCAAACACACACTACCTGCTTTGGTCCGGTCCAAGTAGTGCAAGATTCACCGGTATTTTCATTTCTCTTTCGTTTTTTTCTCTTTTCGTTTGTTCTTTTCTTTTTCATCTTTCTGTTCTTTTCATTTTTATTGTTTGTTTTTCCTTTTCCTTTTTTATATTCCTTTTCATTTCACGAACATATTTTAAGATTAAAAAAATCTAAAAATCATGAACATTTTTAATTCATCAATTTCAAAAGAAAATCATAAGGTTCAAAAAATGTTCATCATATTCAAAGTTTGTTAGTTGAATTCAATATTTCCTGAAATTCAAAATAAATTTATCATATATTAAAAATATATTCATAAATTTCAAATAATTGTCATCAAATTCAAAAAAAGTTTATTGAATTCAAAATTTATTCATCAAATACCGAATGTCAAAATTCAAAATAAATGTTCATTTCCAAAAATTCACAAATATGTTCTGAATTAGCTAACATTTGATGAACATTTGTTTTAATTCACAAATATTTTTTAGAATTTGGACTTTTTTGATTTTCAATTTTTTAACATTTATTAGAATTCTTGATTATTATTTTTTGAAATCCTCGAACACTTTTTAGAATCATGGAGATTTCTAATATTTTGTGAAGATTTCTTGAAATCCTTGGAAAGAAGATAAAAGATTAAAAAAACAAAAAAGTAAGAGAAAAACAGAAAAAGGGGGCGCCCCGCCCTGCACATGGCCCGGCCTAAAATGGCATGGAGGGGGTGTTCGTTTCATCGCTTCCCATCACACAGCGCGCTAAATAGGATGTCCCAACCGAGAGGTAGGGCTTGGTGGGGAAGAAAAAACAGAATTTGGGCGCAACGCAAAGACGCTTTTTTATAGCGGGGCAGCGAGTGCCTTGGGCCCGTATAGGATTTCTTTCCTCTTATTTTCAGCAGGAGTTAAATGAAATGTTACCAAAAGCATCACCAAGAGCAACTCGTTTTTGCCTATCCTTCTAACCGGCTTGTGGGTTTCGTTCCGTTGTTCCCCTCCGCTCACTTGGTTGACCGGTCAACCATTGATTGGTTGGCCATTGACTTTTTAAAAAAAAATGGGTTTAAAAAATACTTATGGGTTTAAAAATGTTTCTGCATTTGAAATAAGTTCAAGTGTTTGAATAGAAGTTTATAAAATTTGAAAAATAAATGTTTGTGATTTTCAAAGAAGTTTATGAATTTGAATAAAACATTTGCAGATTAGAGACAGTTCATGAGTTTGAATTTTTTTTTGTTTGTGGATTTGAGTAAAAGGAATATATATACAAAGTAGAAGAAATAGAAAAACTGAAAAATTGGGACAAAACCTAGCCCGAAAAAATGGAGAAGAAAAAGAAAAAGGGGAAAAAACTTACCAGAAGTTTCCTAAAACCGTTGCAATCTTCAACCCTATAGGTTGTGGTGCTGCAACCGATGGTGGATTGAGTTGCATCCGACAGCGCCACCTGGTGCTGGGACCAACAACGCGGTGCCGGGACCAAACCACAAGATTGGAGACGACGGTGACAAGTGCTGCAATTAGCACCCACCGGTGCTGGAGAAGGCGGCGACAAGTGCTGGAGAGCCACGGCGGGCGGCGTTCAGGGCGTTTGGAACCATGGTGACAAGTGCTGGAGATCCGACTAGGGTCTTTTTTGCTGGAAGCAACCCCAAATTTTGCTACAATTGCCTTTTTTTTCCTAGAACCAGCCTTTTTTTTGCTACCATGTTTGTTCGTGTTTTTGCTAGTATCAACCCAATTTTTTGCTACCATGTTTTTGTTTTGGTAGAAGTAGTGCGCCAAATTTTTTGCTACCACCATGTTTGGTTTTTGCTGGAACCAACCAAAGTTTTTGCTACCATGTCTTTTGTTTGGTGGAACCACTGTACCATTTTTTGCTATCATCATTTTGAGTTTTGTTACTATCAACGTCGTCGTCAGCTGCTGCATCCTTTTTAATGACATGCCAAGACCCACGTCTATGTGTTTTTGCTGTAACTATTATCGATTTTGCTATTAAGGTGTTCACATTTTTATACATCTAATGTCTGTTTTTTGCTACTACCCATGGATGCACAGTCAATGGATTTCTATTGTTGTTGCGTTTGACGGCGGCGAGCAGCTGCGGTGAAATTGTGTCAAGGGCGAGACAAACAGCGAGGGCAAGAATTCACGATGTGGGACACAGGAGAGAGAGTGCGGCCGCCATCTTTTTCTGAGAGAGGGCATGTGAGGGGAATGAAACCAATCGGACAGTTTAGACGCGGAGGGACCAAAGGGCTGCCCGGCGACCTGCCAAAATTTGGGCCGGTCGACCGGTGCCTATCTCCCGCCTTTCCTCTAAGAGAAAACAACACCAGGGTCGCTTCTTGTTGCATTAGCGAGTTTATTATGCCTTGGTTTTCTGTGATTCTGTCGGGTAGTTTTTTTCTTTCTTGCTGTTTTTAGGGTTGTGTGTCTGGTTGTTATTTTTCTCCCTCTGTTTTGTGGCCGTGTATCGCATTGTATTTCTTTTTCACATATTTTTAGGAAAACACTATTGTTCAACCAGTGGATTAGCAAGCTTGCGTCTGCCCCCTTGGTTGCACGCCACGTGTCCCAATGACGTAGTGAACTCCGCTTATCTCTCATTTGCGCAACAACACCTCTATTGCAAAATAAAACTGCAAGAAAACCTCTGTTACAAAAATAATTAAATTGCAATAGGGCCGCTATTGCAAACAACAAAATGTAACAAAACCTTTATTGCAAAAAAAAATGTAGCATGGCCTCTGTTAAAGAAAACGGTAACATGATCTCTGTTGCAAAAATAAATTTGCAACCGGACCTATGTTTTGCAAAATTCTTGCAACATGACCCGTGTTGCAGAAAATTACACGACCTTTGTTGCAGTGGTAGAGGGTGACGCTGGCCGCTCAGTCCGCCATATCTGACGTCTCGCGAGGCGGCAGATCCGTCGGCTTACGCGTAGCAGCGCCCGTATTTTTAACGTTGTACTCCCTCTGTAAACTAATATAAGAGCGTTTGGATCACTAACTAGTGATCCAAACGCTCTTATATTAGTTTACAGAGGGAGTACATGCAATTCTCCAGCATGACATCGGTTTCATCGAGTAATAAAAAAGAAAAAGAAAACTAGGTGCGTGTCCGAGTCCGGGACGAGCAGTGAGCAGCACGTAGTGCCTGCTCCAAACCGAGTCGGACTGTCCCTCGCTCCGCTCCCGACCTTTATATACGACCGCATCGTACGTGATCGGCACATAGCTAGTTCTACCGCAATCACAGCGAACGCTAGCTTAGAGTTCATCAGCCACCTGCCTGACTCGATCGAGATGGCCGGAGCGGGAGGAGGCATAGCGATCGCCGGCGCCAACATGTGGGCCGTGCTGCGCAACAACGACCCCGGCCACAGCGCCGACGACGCCGTCGTCCACGGCCGGAAGCTCGTCAAGAAAGCCGCGGCCAAGGCGGAGGAGGTGGCGCCGCCGCCGCGGGCTGCCAAGCCGCCCGCGACGAAACGTGGCACCAAGAAGGGCACCAAGAAGGCCACGAAGAGAGGCGCGGCCGGGGTCGGCAAGCACGAGCAGGCGGCGCCGGCGGGCACCATGGACGACATGATGGAGCGTTTTACACGGATCGCTATGGCCGCCATCTATGGAAAGCAGATGCCGCTCGAGGCGCCACCGGCTGTTCCGGCGATACCCGGACTCCCGGAACACCAGCCCGGCGGTGGCGAGGCAAAGGAGACGCCGGCCGTGGCCACGCCGAGCGAGGAGGAGGAGGAAGAAGAAGTTGTCGGCATAGAATGGGAGAACGAAGAGATGGGTAAAGTGGAAGATGAAGCAGAGTTCGTTGCCGTGGTCGCCAAAGGTGGGACGGTGGCCCAGCGCCGGCGGGCACGCAAGGCGGCAGCGGTGGAAGGCGCCGCGGCCGGCGGTGCCAACATGTGGGCTGCCCTTGGCGATGACGACCCTGGCCACGGTGCCGCCTACGGCCGGAAGCACAGGAAAGCTGCCGCCGAGGTAGAGGAGGAGAAAGCGCCGGCCCATAATGTCGACGTGAGCGCATGTTCAGGTTCAGGTGATGGTGGCGCCAAGCCGGCGAAACGTGGCAAGAAGACCAAGAAGAAGAAGAAATGTGCCGTCGTCGAGGCCGAGGGCAGGAAGCAGACGGCCACCATGGACGACGGAGAGGTCAAGGCCGAGGCCGAGGACAAGAAGCAGGCAGTGGCAGTCACCGTGGACGATGGTGATGGTGGCTGCCGGGCTGTGGCCAGGGCGGTCGTCGCGGCGGCGGTCATCGCTCTGTGGTGCCGGCTCGTGTCCCCCTTCTGAGGCGTGATCCGGCCATGCCAAGCACTAACCAGCAAGCATTTTACTTGAATACAGTAGTAATGTACGTAGCTATGGTTGATGTAATTAGAAGATTGATTTTTCACTGTGGCAAGCCATAGATTTGGGTTTTGAGTGATACTACCAAACTCTGTTAAATGTATACATATTTTTTTTTCTTCACATTATCGAAAAAATACATGTTTTTTCAACTTATTACGGCCTCTGCAATTGCTTTGCTTCTGCTTCTTTTATTTCACACCCAATTTTCAGTACAGATTCGCATCAAACAGAGCACAGCCCGGAGTGATCGCCTTGTTTGCGCTGCCCTGGGTGCACATCTCACTTGTTTTTTTTTTTTTTGAGCAAACATCTCACTTGTACAAGGCTTCAATCTCACTCTGATACTTGGCCGCCACTTTGTCCCTTCTTATTTTCATGGTTGGTGTCATCAAACCATTATCAATCTGAATAACAAGATCACGCAAAGCTTGTAAGTAAATAGTAAAGTAGCTACTTAATAATTAGCCAGCGAAAACTCCCAGTGTGCTGTTCTAGAAAATCTTACCGTAAATGGTTCGTCGACAACAAGAATAGGGCCAATCTGGAATGAGCAACCAGCCATCCTGACATGAATTAACAAACTAATTCAATTCTACTACGAGACATTTGACCGACGAGACTCAGTTCACAATGACAAAATTTATAAAATCCTAAAATACAGTGAACGATTCAATTCTACCACGGTTTTGGAACGTCTCCAGATTAGCTAAAAGGTCTCCATTATGATAGCCAATGAACTATCAAGGAAGATAGGGTTATCTGAACAAATCAAATAGCAAAGCGCTCAACTCTTACCAAGTTTTCAGCTCAGCATATAACAAGCTCATGACCATATCTTTGGCTAGCCCGTTGTTCCCATCAAGGCTAGACTTTCTTTTTGCTGCTGCCACGACTTCGTCATTGTTGGGAACAATAATAGCACCGAGGCGCCGCCGATCCTATGTAAAGAACAAATAACAAAGTTCATGACTTCACCAGTGGTACTGATGATCTATTTCATCACTGCAATATCTAAATCAAATCATGTTATGATAAATCTTTTCATGAACGAAAACACACCGCATGGTTTCAAATAATGGTCTGGCAGTTCCAAAAACCATTTTCCCTATCACTTGAGGAATTCTATTTTCCCACAGGCCATGTCAAGGAGCATCAATTGGCCATAGTAATGATCATAATATAACACATAGTATGATTTATGTAGCAATTGTGTGGTTATGCTTCTTGCCCTACCTGGCCAATAACCATTATCTGATCAATCAAGCTACTTCTGCTTGCTGCTTCCTCAAGCTCAGCAGGTTCAACATTTTCTCCTGAAAATTGGAACATTCAAGCACAATCAGATCTAGTAAACATCCAAGTGCCGTCAGATATAACTAGAGTTACATGATATCCAGCTACATACGAATGAATTGATTTCCAGAGTACAACATCAGTATAGAAAGAAGTCGAATGTCATAATCAACGTACAGAGATAACAGTAAATAGATCTTACATAATACATACCTGTAGTGAGAACTATTGTATCCTTTGCACGCCCTTCAAGAACAAGCATCCCTCCACACTTTCGACTAGGACCTGTGGCATGGTGAGGTGCAATCCAACCTATATCTCCAGTGTTGAACCAACCTTCTAGATCCAAAGCTTTATTTGTAGCAGATGGATTCTGTGACAACCAAAGTTTTAGGAGATCATAAATGAGAACCTTCTAAGGAAGAAGAAGGCTTAAATACATAAGCTCAGAGCACATGGTATCTTAACATGGATTGTGAGATTTAGCTAAGTGTCAGACATCAAGGTAAATATGTTTATTTCACCAAGTAATATGTTTACAGAAGGCCGGTTTCTTTTATATTTGACAGTTCATTCGTATTGGTAAAAAGTGAATAGATAGAACCTTATAATATCCCTTCATTACTGGCAGTCCTTTAATCTTCACAATCCCCTTTGAACCATCTGGGAGCACCTCACCGGTCTCTATGTCCACGATCTTGATTTCTGTATGCTTTATTGGGTGGCCAACTGTGCCAAGAACCTTGTTACATCAACTGATTATGTTAGTACAAGAGCACAAATGGGAGGCAAATCACGCACATTTGTCTAATGAGAAATGTGGAGATTATTTTGATGGTACTATACTACCCAAGCGGTTACAAGTTGGCAATCAGTTGAAATCACACACAAAAATGTCCAGGAAGCCAAGAAGCAAAAGATTAGCACCAAATATAGCACCAGAATTATCATGTTCTGTTGTCCTTAGAAACTGAATATCCAGCATGAAGATATGCTCCTTTATAAAAAGACAAAAATTGCGAGAACATTTTATGCATTTCACAGGCAAGATCTGAGTTTATCTCTTTTCTGGGAGCAAGAATGTGTTATCTGAAGAATACCAATAACATTGTTCCTCTCTTTTTGCCCATTTTCAAGGATTCAGTACCAAATTATGCAAGATTTAACTCACTATATGATCTTGTTATCTGTTGCTTTCCCCAATGAGTAAAACAATTTATAATATTTCCGGTAATTGCCTTTGGCTCCTAGGTGCATATGCACCCATTGTCGAAATACACATTTCGAAAAGTTGAAAAATTCAGAACAAAAACCCCGCGTGTATATCCGTACATTTTATGTGCGTGCACAAGGTTTCAGTGAAAAACGACGTTTTTTGTGGCTTGTGTAAAAAAAGACAATTTCTAATGCTTCATTCTAACTATTCACGAGACATTTCTTTATCTTTTTTACACAAGCCACAAAAAACGTCGTTTTTCACTAAAACCTTGTGCACGCACATAAAATGTCCGGATATACACGTGGGATTTTTGTTTCGGATTTTTCAACTTTTCGAAATGTGTATTTCGACAATGGGTGCATATGCACCTAGGAGCCAAAACGCCGCTCTCTAATATTTCTTATTAAATATAAAACCAACAGGGGAACCAACAGTTTATTATGCAACATACCAAAAGATCAGACTATAAATGCATATAATATATAGAAACAAGTCCTGTGGAACCTCTTACGTTACAGAATGGCCGTCTAGCAGCTACAACAGGGGAAGTCTCTGTTAGACCGTAGCCATTTTGCACTTTGATACCAATAGCCTGGAAGAGAACAATATCGGTGAAAGGATGTTAATATAAGAAGTTTATTTATCGCCAATCCTCTACCTCAAAAAACTTGTCAACATGCATCGGAAGACTTCCTCCACCACTAATACCAGCCTGCAAATTATCACAGAAACCATAGAATTAGTAAGTATGCAAAAATTTAGGGAGCTCACACTCAAAACTGCACAAAGATTATCGAGGTAGCACAGAAATAGGCACGCAGGCAAAATAAATGTACCTTCGAAATTCCGATGGAAGAATGGATTTTCTTGTAGACTAACATCTTTGCCAGATTATGTAAAGGCCACAAAAGAGCAGCGACGATTCTTGCCCGTAGATAATTGAACATGTAGAAAATGAATGATTGCTTGACAGGACTGTTTGATAAGACTGTTCCCTTTCCAGAATAACAGAAAAAGAAGACAGAAAAAGGAAAATTGACTCAGCTACACGCAGAATCCAATGGGATTTATAGAGAACATCCAGTCACCAAAGAATGAGAGGAAGAAAAGATAACGACTTTACTTGCAGCTAAGAGAATGAGGTGACTCATGCTAACTCGGGATTCATACCTCATATATTTTCTTTGCCTCCATAAATAGCAAACTTATCTTGATAAGTGCAAGGGCAACAGTTTTTCGAGCAGGAGAACTAGCAGATATCTGCCTCTGAATCGAACTGTAAAGAGTGAGGAAACATTACAAAATGGATCAAAGACTTTTTTTACATACTGTTGCTAATCACTACTGATCTACAAGAAATATTGATTCATGAATAAAAAATATGATAACGCAAACAAGCCAAAAAAGGATATAATTAAAGATAGATGTTGATAGCAAACAAAAGACGAATATGCTGAGCCGCATTTAGGGCACTACAGAACTGAAGAAATTCTACTATCCAATACCACTGCCTGTAGAACACGTCACAGTTTACATACACAATTTAACATCATAGTCATAGAAACTGACCTGTGCAGAGTTTCATAGACCAGTGGTACAGAGATAATATAATGGGGTTGGTGGAGCTGCAAATCTGCCTATAAAAGAACATAAAGATGTTAACATGAATAAGCAATTTCAGCATCTTGTACAACAGTCAGACAATAAAAGTAGAACAAGTAGAGTACTGCACGCCACACAGAAACCCTGTTGAGCGCATCGTGATACCGCTTTCGCATGAAAATTAGCAGGTCTAGAGTTCTGCAGACTGCACATGTTAGTGCAATGTCCATCACTAAGTTTGCAGCTTTCGGTAGGCTGCTAAATCTATGAAAGCATAACCCATGAGCACATGAATACTACTACGTCGCAATAACTTCTTAATGACATCACTAGGCCTCTTACCAAAACTGACTAAAATGAAGTATTTTATGATGGAAAGCACCAAAATCATACCTTCAGGTGCTTCACAGTAGTGTAAACTTGTTGAATTCCATGAGTGAAGATGAAGTACTCAGTAGAACGCTCGTATGCATGCCAGGGTGGAAGCATGCTTAGGAACCTATCACCAGGTACTGCTGGAACAATATCCCATAAGTTATTTATCTGCAGAACATAAATAGCGTAAAGATTAATGTGGATACAAGATTAAAAAAACTACAGAAGTCAGTTAAAAAAAATCAAGGCGCTTCAGACTTGGGATACTTCTAGAAAATCGAGGAAAACATGATATAAGTAGAGGTTATTGGCTTATTGCACACAGCATAGTATTACTTAAAATTCATTGACAAAATTTCATCATTGCTGAAACCTGATGCAAGAGATTTCGGTGTGTAAGCATCACGCCTTTTGGTGTGCCACCTGTTCCGCTAGTATATATTAGGGTCGCAACGTCTTCTGGACCAATAGCTTCGAAGACGCCTTGCTGACCTGAAAGAAGAAAAAGTTGTAATAAACTACGACATGGTTGGAAGAAGAGGAACCATATTATTGGATGCAAGTTGACTGCTTGAAAGTTCAGAAATAAAAGAAGATTTTTCTACAGAAATAAAAATCTTTAAGAGTTTCCTAGTGACGCCATATTCTGTAAGGAAACAAAATTTAAGTGCTCCTCTTTAAAACAACAGATGCCAAAGCTATTAAGAAAGAAACCAATTGGCGTTGGCTGCAAGGAACTTGAGTGGCAAGCTCTGGATATAACTAAATGACTGAGCCAACCATTAAATAACAAGCTTGCGAAACTAACAAGATTAGGTACATCTATCAATTGTATACTGGTATTGGGATGCTTAGCTTATTGGATGGTAAGACATCTTACATTCTTACATGAAGCAAATGATTAGCAACTTATGTGACATTTGATGTCAGAAATGCAGAAGAAAGTGAAGTAACAAAAATTGGAAGAAACGTACTCCATATATCTTCAGCTAAACATTTCTTGTGATTCATATCACATTATGATATCATGCAAAGATACCTTGCTCGGATAGCTCGCTTGAGTAGCATAATGCATTGCGATTTTCTCGTCCAAGTTCAGTGATATCATTGTAGTCATAAACTGGTATGTCCATCACAGCTTTACTATTTAGGGATGATTTATCACCCCAAAGTAGCACAATGAATCTTGCATTAATCCTTGAAATGAAAGATTCTGCAAGCCGGTTAAAGAATTGAGGACTGTCCACAACAAGTGCAATACTGTGATGGGAAAAAACAATAAAGTCGTATTATAACATGAAAGTAAAAAGTATAAAAATTACAGTGCATAAGCATAAAGATACTGATCATAATACCATGAACTAACAATCCATATTTCTAGAGTCAATGTACTATATACGGCCTGCTATGTTTGAGGCAAAACTTTCCAGATGCAAAACAATAACCAAGCAAGCATACTTTGAGAGATTAAGTTCATGGCAAGCATTGCGCAAGATCATAATAGCATATTATGGACATTTTGGTCCAGTAAAGATTTCAAAATTAGAATGCAGATGTTGTTATTTTTTTCACGAGCTAAGACAGGTCTGATCCGAAAGATGATCCATCCAATTTTTTCTTTAACTATAGATGGCAACATCATGCCAAACTTGCACCTCAAATTCCATATCCCCTTAACAGTCCTCACCTCTCTCAGTTATAATCTCAACATGCCATCAAACAAAATCAGTGGAAGCATTTAAATAGGCATATAAAAATGGTTTATTGCCTTACAAAAGCCAGGTCCTAAATCCTGACAGGCTCGTGGCTCAACAGTTCAAAGGGTAGAAAGAGACAAGTGAATGAAATTTCATTTATGTTGTGCATGACTTAGATTTATACTGGCTCCTAGACTGCATACTCAATCATTAAAAGCAAAACAGAAGAATTTCAAAAGGACTTGAGACTTACCTTTCTGAGTGACTGTATATTTGGAACAGTTCTTCATCGGAAGATTTTGTTCCTCTAACAACATTGATAGCACCAGTAGCCATGATTCCTGGATTGCATGTGTCAGTGGCATGATTACTGATGAACATATATGGTCATCCATTTGAAGACAGTTACATGAACTCCCCTAGATAGCTAACACAACAAATGGTAAGCACATCATTCAAGAAGCTGACATTTATTCAGTTAAGAAAAAAAGCTGGCATTTATTGAGTATCTTTTTTAACAGCAAAATGCATAGCAAAGCCGTTATTATTTGGTTGTTTGCATCATTTTCTCTATGCTAGGAAAGTGTAACAGTTGCACTCGTGTAGAAACTACAAGCTTAAATATAGCAACTCTAGCATTCTGGTGATTTGTGCTCTTCACTTCTTCAGCATACTATATGTTAAACATCTTGAAACCAAAAAAAAGGCAAATTACCTTGATCTGCTACTAGCCACCGACATGAGTTGTCAGCAAAAAGGGCTATCTTTTCATCTGGAGCAACACCAACAACCCGCAGACCATGAGAGAAATCCAATATTTGTTGTTCAAGCTGAATAAAGAACATACGTCAAATAAAATATATTAAAAAAACAAGGATTGCCAACTGCACAAAGGGATTGGAACTACATAGTATATTGAAACAGTATTGAAGTGCATATGCAAGTTGCAGTCCACTGCACAAGATTTTAAGTAGTTTTTGGCAACAAAAGAAACAGCATATGTAAGCCTAACTATGCCTATTTCAAGAGAAAATGTCTTAGATAATCAGGCACCAACAGAAGGTTATGGTGGTTCAACAAGTACCTGCTTATAAGTCAATTCAGACGGAGGATCATGATAAGGGTCCACCAGAGCTACACGGTCAGCATATTTTTCTGCTGCTGTCCTCCAAATATCTGGAACGGCCTTCCACTCATGCACAGCCAATTCATTTCCACCAGGCAATAGAGCACTATCAAGAAACGGAGAGCACTTTCTGCGAGCCGGGATTTGTACCTGCAATGTGGATATATGGAAGTATCAGGCAAAAATTTCACATGCGGAGCCCAAACTCTGTACGACTGATGCAGAACATGCCTACTTTGTAAAACTATTATTCTCCTGCATTCACAACACTGAAAGACTGATCACGCAGACAGTTAAAACCTGACCATGTCCAGCCATGGAATTCATTCGCAATTCGATGCACGCAATAAAAGGCAGACTCCGGCAGAGCTATGGAGAACCAGTGTTATTTTTGACTACCGCAGCTCAGTTACGCCCCGTTAATGGCCATGGATTATGACTTCTCTGGCTCTGTTGCGGCGCTCTGTCGCAGCACCGATTCGACGGCGACTGACACCAGGTAAAAGCTACCCTTTTGCACCCCTTTGTTTTCACACGTGGAGTCCAAACTCTGTACTTACTCCTGATGCAAATCATGCTTATCTTGTTGCTTCACAACACTGAAAGACTCGCGATGACTGGCAGCCGGTGAAAGCTACCCTTTTGCACCCCCCCCCCCTAGTTTTTCAGGCTGAATTAATTACAATTCTCTCTTTTTTTAGAGAAATTCTACCCCTTTTTTCTGAGAGAAAATTTGTTCCTCTTTTGGCGGAGGCAAATCGGCCCCAAAAGCTTAACGAGGTTGTTATTATTGCTTTCTCTGAAAAAGGGAGATGCCTGTCCTGACAATTTGGAGGCCGCTTGAAATCTACGAGAAATTTAGGAGATGGAGTGACGGACAGGGGGACTAACCGCGGAGCCGCCGGCGGAGGTTTGCGGAGGGGGGGTGGCGCCCGCGCACCGGGGCACGCAGACGCGGTCAGCGCCGCCACGCCGCCTCGCCGAGGAGGCGAGCAGGCCGGGCCGGCGCCGGAGCGGCAGGGCGGCCGGGCGGGGCGGGAGGAGGAGGAGGCGCGGCGGCGGGCGGAGCGCCGCCATTTGGCCGGAGGAGGCGAGGAGCATCGCGCCGAGGAAGGAGCGGGCGGCCTCTCCGGACCGGACTGGAACAAGGGAGTGTCCGTGTCTCACCCACGGGAGGGAGGGGACACGTGCGCGGGCGGCCCCGTAGTCGTAGTAGATAGAGAGGAGAGATGGCGACAGCGGCGGAGGAGTCGAGGCTCAGTTGCGGCGTGGGGCGGTGCGGGACGGACGGAACGAGGCGGCGGCGGCGGCGCCGGCAGCGTACCGTTGGTCCCTCGGATCCCCTTCCGAGGGCTGGATTTGTTTCCAACAACAAAAAAACTCTGGATTTGTTTGGTTTGAGGTGACTCATTCCTGCCATCCTATATGGATTTAAGATGATTGATGATGGTTGTAACTTCACCCTCGTGGCATCTCTTGAATCCTAGGGACGTGTGATTCTCGACATTAATTGATGGAACAAAGTTTCGCTGGACAGAAGAATTGTAGTGGACGAATCATGTGTTCAGACGAGGTTCTCATTGTTAGGTTAAATTTAATTTTGTTTAATTTTGTAATAGCCATGCTACAACATCCTCTATTAAACTTCATAAATCCTAGCAATTTGTAGTTCCAAACCATCTCTTGTGATATCTCCACAAACATCAGATTGACAGCTAACCTACGCTAGAAGAAAAAAGCCACAATCCAATCACCCGCATGCTACATGCAGGCAAGCAACTACAAAATGATCCAGTGAAACTACCTAGCTCTTTCCCAATGTCTACAATTCCAATGAATAAAGTTAACATCCTACAGACATGCATGGCATCCATACATCCACAACGATACACACCAACTAATACATCTTTCATCTACATTTCTGGTGACTTTTCAACAACACACATACTGGAGTAGTTGTATATATAATACTCCTGTGGATAGTGGTCTTGGGCATGTTGCTCTCTTAGCGGCGATGTAATGTGTGGTGGTTGATATTTAAGATGATTTTCCAAATGTTTTCATAGGACAGCTTCTAGTTGGAGATATTATTCACAACCCTTCATGCAAATTAGTGTGAATGTGTGACACGTTCACATAGTCCATCGGTATATAAAAATCTTATATTATAACTACACAATCATCCCTATAAATTAGTTTGTGTTTGACTTCACATGCAGGAACATCATCTTACACTAGTTGTCATCTGCTCTACACATCTTGGAATTAGTTTTATTGCCATCACATCACGTGGAAATTTAGCAGCTTTTTTTTGCACTAACTCTTTCTGGATGGGATTTACTGACTTGGCACTCACAATTATGATAGTGCCTAAGTTGCGACAAGGGTAAATACATATTTATCATCTGAGGTCAAGAAACAAAATTGACAAATCTACACCATGGACCATCTCTTCACTAAACATTCAATTTTCCTCAAACAGTTTTCTTACTTAATTTTGGCATGAGTGTGAACATCCATCCTTAACATAAATCTCACTCCTAAGGCTAGCTGTAATGGTAGTATAATAGCTAGTATCATGCATGTCAACTAGGCAATTTTGATAAGGTGTTATAGAATTAAATGAAGAAAAAGAGAGTTGAGTATCATATCATGATACCTCATAATAAATGTTATGCTACTATGTGTCATGCATGACAATAAATAAAGTACTACATGATACTAATATATAATACTAAGCATTAGGGAGGTAGTATCATACACTAGTATCATCATATGCATGATACTAGTATATGATACTCCCCATTACAACCAGCCTAATATGTCGTCCTAAGTGCAGTTTATAGAACTGCAACTAGTGCATTAATACATCAGATTAACTATCCGATCAACCTTTGTTTTAAAAGGTCAAGATTATAAATCGCGTGTTTTCCTTCTTGAAGCAACATTTGTGGCTACAAGAATACCTTCTCATAAAGTAACTGTTTGGACACCTAGCTTACTTCTAGTTGTTCGTAATTTCCCCCACAACATCTTCCCAAATGCTTCCTCTGCCCTAAAATAGGTGGCGTATACATTGAGTGAAAAAGTCAATGTTTTAAGTTTGACCAAGCATATGTACAAAATCATTACGATAATCAATACCAAATCAATATTTACATACCCACTATTAGAGATATTATTGTAATGTATTTATTCAATATTGCAGTTGTTCATATTTACGTATATATATTTATTCAAACCAATAAATTGTTGATTTTAGGCTGAATTTATATGCCACCTATTTGAAGATGGAGGGAGTAACATAGAAGGTTGCAACATGTAATTAGCGTTGGACCTGATCTCTAGGATTTTGACCAATCAACCACAAGCGTGCATGCGTACATGCATGTAGGCAAATAACTGCATTGTTACATGCGCATAGGCAAACCGTATTCGTTGTCCACAACGTCGTCCAAGACTTGGCCCAAGATCTAACCCTCCTGACCGAACCTCCACACACCCTGCTCACAGCAATGAGCATCGTTGGAAGGAGGGCAGAATGGGATGATCTTAATCCACGCCGCAACGCCATCGCAAAAAGGAAAGAAACGCCATCGCCTCGCATCACCAACCAAACATCTAGACTGAGTCATAGGTCCGAGCTAGGACAACCCAAGCTACACCCACAACTTCAAAGTGGTAGTCGCATCTATGTTTTTTGAGGGATAGTTGCATTTGTTTTATGAGGGGACATTTTGCATCTATGTGTTTTTAGGGATAGTTGCATTTGTTTTATGAGTAATTATTTTGTACAGTAGTTAGGCATACACAAGGTTGTGTTGCAGTTTCACTAATTGTCAATTTAATTGTCCGTCAGTGCATCGTCCTAAGCCATCATTAATGTTTTCATTAATACCGACAGCCAACACAAAGCATTAATTTCAGCATGTGTGTATAGCTGACTAATGAGGTGTCCGCAATTAATTATGTGGAGAAAATCAAAACTACGTATTACAAGTTTCTTTTTTGAGGGAACTCAAAACTACAAGTGAAATAACTCACTGTTTGTACGGATCTCCATTCATTTGATGGGTGTTGTTCAAATAAATAAAATCAATTAACGGGTAGAATATGCAGGTGGGTTGCTGTCACACCCAATATGCGATCCTATCTGAAAGGAACTCGAAGGTCCCATTAAGGATAGAGCCGCATATTAAATACGCTTTTGCAAGGTGGATATCATTGCATCGTACCATTACATAATAGAGGGGGATACATACAAAGGCATACAAATGCCACAAGAATACATCAAACATCATACAGAAGAGAGGCATCCGACTACGGATGAAATCAAACGAAAAACTCAAACGACATCCACCCTGCTATTATGTAATGGTACGATATAATGATGTCCATCTTGCAAAAGCATCTTCCATATGCGGCTCTATCCTTGGTGGGACCTTCGAGTTTCTCTCGGATAGGATCGCATATTGGGCATAACAGTTGCACCCAGGTATTCCTTGCCAAGAAAGAGCATAGCACCGTTGCGAGGGTTGCATAGACTGATGGACCGATTTCTATACAACCTGGTACCAATGCATCTAGTACTACGTACTAGGTGGAGCATTATCAACCTTGTACCACTGCTCTTTTATTATTTGGTTGGGGCACTGCCTGCCATTCGGACCATGAGTAATATGGTCCACCTAAGAAATGTCCCGTACGGTGGTTGGAAAGTGCATTTGTACTGGTGTCTAATTCTTTAATTAGAAAAGACAATCAAAAGCATTTTAGATCTGACAATAATTATTAAAGAAAATAGTTTCCACTATAATGAAAAGTAACTGGACGCGGAACGATAAGTAAAATATAAAATCACATTGAAAATCATATACTAGCCTTCTTCCCCGATTGTACACCGCCCGCTAAAGTTTACAAATCGTACAAATCAACAGTAAAGGAGAGGGTTTAATCATTCCATGCCTAAAAAAAGTTGCTTCACCATGGCACTGCACAAGTTTTTCTCTAGGTAGAACTTTTACCCTGCCGTAGTTTATGGATGTATTCTACTACTAGGTGGAATATCTACATGCTACTACTGCTCTTTATTCGGTTGAGCCCTGCTCGCCATTCGGGCTATGAGTAATGGTCCACCTATGAAATGCCTTATTAGTCCGTATGGTAGCCAGGACATAGGGTTTTTTTAATAAACAAGACACAGGTCCGACGTTAAATCAATGATGCCTTTAAAAGACCCAGACCTAAACAACATACACCACACTCGACAGAGCTAACAACAAACATCAAAAGATACAAGGCAACTAAGAAGCAAGCTAACAGACAACGTCAAGCACAAGCTCAGAAGCTTGAGCAACGTAGTCTTTGGTCAATGCAGTGATCGCGTCGAAGAGGAGATGAAGTCATGGAGGTTGCTGGTCCGCTGGAGGAAGCCCGTGTGTAGCCAAAACCCCGAAACCACAAAGACATCACACAGGTGATCTCCGCCTCCAAAGAGGGCACCACCTGTCCTCTTGACGTGGCTCGTAGAGCACCATCTTGTCGGCAGGCGAAGATGCTCCCGTGAGCCCACAAGGAATATGACCAACCGGTGACCGAGGAAGGACGGTACACACAAGCGCCTCACCTCGCAAAGCAGCCAGAGGCATCCAGACTCACACGACGAAACAGAGCAAAGAGCAAACCCAAGCTGCTGCAAGGACTCACCAACAAAGATGCCGGGATAGTATGTGCAGCGCCACACCATGGAGCAGAGCCAGAGCACCTGCCACACTGCTGCCACACCACTGAAGAATATCGGCCGCCTTCAGCGGACAAAAACCTGTGCGAGAGTCGAGCCCGCCCCCAAAGTCCAAAGGCGGCGCCTTCAAGAAGGTGACAACGGTGGAGTGCCGCTGCCGCCCAAGCTAGGACATAGGAAAGTCTATTTTTACACTAATGGCATCAAAAAGGTATATTTACACTAATGTCCAATTAATTGTCCATGCAAAGCAAAGCAAAAAAAAATGCGGATAAAAGCAAAATATTATGTCGATATAAAGAAATGTAACCTTTTGGTTTTCTTATCACGAGCCACTGCATTCATACTTTTCTAGTGCATA